TATTAAAGAGAGTACCTCGTTTGGAGGAGGGGGCACCTAAAAAAAATTGCTTAAAAAATAGAAAGAGAAGGAAAATATAACTCTTCCAAATAATAAGACATTTGACAAAACTAATAAAGAGGGAGGGCTAAATATTTTAGAAAAGAGATAGAACTAAAAAAAGAGAGAAGTTAGAGATTTTAGAAAAGAGAGAGAGAATGATAAAGATTTAAAGAAATTTAGTTACTTAAATATTTTATTATAAATATCTATAAATATTTTTCTATCTCCACGTTTATCTCTCTCTCATCTCCACATGCATCTCTCTTTTAGATCTCTCTAACTGGACCATAGAAAGTTGATATGCACTCTCTCTCTTAACATGCATTCTCTTTTTTAATATGCACTAATTTTAAGAGATCGATTACTCTCTCGTTGCTTTCTCTTCCCTATGCGTACTCTCTCTCTCATTGTCTCTGTCACTCTCTTCTTCTTCATTGATTTTGTTGATCTCACTCTAATTGATTTTGTTGATCATACTTTAAATGGAAAATAGAAACGTGGGCAACAACTTAAAAACTTATATACTTTCCCTTATCTAACTGTCCATTCTGAATGGAGGGCTAAAAATGCCCCAACCACAATGTCATATCTTATACTATTTTTATTTTTAATTTTTTTACACAAACTATTTTAACACCAAATTTTGTATGTCCAATCATCTATTAAACTCGCACTAGTGAAAAATATAAAATCATATTTTTAATAATATAAAATGACAAAATACTTCTGAAAGTTTCAAGGGGTATTTTGGTCATTATATTTAATTGAATAATTATTTTTAATATTTTTTATAGGTGCCCCCAAATTTCATATGCATACAATTTGTATATAAAAAAATAAAAATAAAATACTTTGAGACATCGGATCTAAGATCAAACAGTAAGCGGCTCTCTTGATCAATATTGGACGGTTGGATGGTAGGGAAACCATAGATCTTCTATGTTGTAGGGGAAATATACAAACCTTTTCCACTACTAATTAAGATATAAAATATGATATGTTTAGATAATGATAGAATATAATATCTTCCTTTTGATTGATTTTGTTGATCTCATTCTAAGTGGAAAATAGAAACACACTAAATTTAGGAGATTGACGACTCTCTCTCATTGTCCTTTTTCTCTCTTAGCTTGCAGATGGATAACTCTCTCTCTTTTCAACTCCCTTTGTATTCCCTTGTACTCTCTGCTCTCTTTCTCTCTCTTTCCTTAAAGGTGAGAAGGTCTCCTACTACCTCTATAGAATTAGGGTATTTTTTTATTTTGTCGTATAGATAAAATTTGTAAAACATCTAATTGACCATCCCGACATTGAGATGTATGGATATGAAAAAAGAAAAAGATTTCAAGTCTTAAAACTAATACATCTTGCAATACATTATCTGGGACCGTTCATTTTCAAGATTTTCATGTGTTTATAAATCTCCTTGATATGAACTATTTTTGGAGTTTAAAATTGTATAATTAGATATGAAAATAAATATTTGGGCCATTCGAAAAATTTTCGACACCAAAATTGTATCTTATGATAAAGTTTGGAGATGTACCTTTCTTTGATTGTTTAAGGTTTCAAACTTATGCAAAACTCATCCAAAAATGATATATTCTTTTTACTTTGCTATTAAATTTCCAAATTATCAAGTTTTTCCTCTCTATTTAATAATATTTAATTAGTCATGCTTGCTTTTGTTTCTTATATTCAGTCCATTTTCATATTTTTTACGCAACATACTCACCTATTCTCTTGAGATAGGAATTTAGTTATTCTAATTAGAATTGCTAATTTGGTAAGAATTAATATTATTTTGACTTTAAATCAAGTGAAATTCCTCGTTTTGTTGGGAATTCTTAATTTTCTTTTCATTAGCAACTCCTATAAAGAGCAAATGTTTTAAGAAAATTTTGAGGGAAGAAGAAATTATGAAGATAATTCAAAATTCGAACCCCTATGCTTTCTCTCTTGGTAATATATACTACCTAGTGTCGCATGCATTGCACTAATCTCCAATTTAAGATATTAATCACAATTATTAGATTTTAATTGTGACATTTGTTTTCAATTTCCTCATTTTGTTTTACCATGATGAGGCATTAGGATTATCAGCCATGCCTAAAAAATTCCTGACATGTATTTGTAACAAAACAACTAATACATGTATTTTTAATAAAATACTTAATATTTGTAGAAATGATACCACAATATTTCAAAGAATACCATTTACTTGTAGTACAAAGTCACAATTATTATTGTTATATGTAGAATTGAGTGGTTAGAGAGCACAAACTCTAAAATAAAAATTCTCGATTGTTGTGACACATTTCAAGCTGTTGGCTTTCATATCCAATAGCCAAAAGAGATTGTGACTTCCTTGTATCTAATGTAAATGGTCTCATTGGATACAACCTCAAATTTTAAATAACCATTATAAGAATAATAGAAACAAATATAACATTGAGTATAAAATTTTAGGAAATAAATAAGATAAAAGCACTACTTTATCCCACTCTATTGCGAGATGATGTTACTTTACTCTATTGAGAGAATGTAGGAGTTGGTTGGAGCTAGAGTTGAATCTGAATCAAGATAAGAGATTGAAAATGAAATGTGAGAGAGATATGATCTATAAATTTCACACTTTACTCATTCTGGAGATCTTTTTAAGAATTGAAGAGATAGAAAGGTCTAGAAAGGAATTCAAAACTCACACTGTCATTTAATATACATAGATATGAAAAAAATTTACATCCTCTTTTTCACAAATATAGCTATTGAAACTAATAAATCCCAAAATTGCCAACCCCAAATAATTGGGATAAAGTTTGGATGATAATGATGAAACTAATGAATCCCAAAATCTGGTTGTCCTCCTTATCGAGGAAAAAAATACAATAGATGAAATTTGACAAAAATTGCCGACCCCAAATAATTGAGATAAAGCTTAGATGATGATGATGAAACTAATGAATCCCAAAATCTGGTTGTCCTCCTAATTGAGAAAGGAAAGACAACAGATGAAAATCTGACAAAAGACTTTGAAATTGTTGTTGCTACAAAATCTAACTCCTCGTGTTCCTTTCTCCCAACTAATAACACAATTATGGGAAACACTGAAAGAAAAAGTGAAACATTAAAACAAGAGCAGATAAAAGTTATTTTCAGGACCAAAACTCCCAATTCTTGCAGGTAGATGCGTGCAAATTAAGTCTCATCCCATAGAATTCAACAACTTAAGGGCCAATTCTTCTTGCTCAGCCAAAGTTATAGCATCTGTACTCAAACCCAAAGCTTTTCCCTTGTGTTTTTTGGTGGTAGCCTTTTGTGCACCTTCTTCTTCAGAACTGTCATCACTGTTGAAATAGGTCTTGTTTCTCTTGAAAGCAAGGGTAGGGCCATCCTCATCAGATGCATAGTCAGCGTCGTTTTGATTCCCCATCTCTCCTCTCCCCTTTATCTTCTCTCTACACCTCTTTTCTCGCAATCTTTGCTTAAGAAGAAGCTTGTCCTCCTTATCCTGATGCTTCAATTCTTCCCTTAGCTTCTTATATCGTTCTTCCACTGTCGAAACCCAGTCATTCTCTCCACGTTTAGTAAGCAGTGCATATGCATATGCAACTACTTACAAAAATCAACTAACTACGAAAATTTGGATATGCATAAACATCTCCCTCTCTCTCTCTCTCTCAGCTATTGAGGTGGTATTTTAGGAAGGACAACTTTTTGTTGAGCTGTGGTCTCACCCACATGCCACTTTTTTTTTTGTGATACATGGCTAAGGCACATCTTTACAGTGTCAATATCACATGGCCAGCCATATCTATAAGAAAAAAGTTTATATCGAGCTATTGAAACCACATTTCTCGACACTACTTGAAAGTGAGCTTTACTCGGCTCTATACAAACCGCACCCTATATATAAAACCAGTAACCTTTGCACTTACAAGGTGGACAGTCCTAGTACTAAAAATTACATGGCAATTATTGTGTTTTTCTTTACAATGTTTAACTTAGAACCTAGTGAGAATAAAACTCTAGATGTCAAACTTTGGCACCATCACCATTATCACCTCAGTCGAGCCCGTACTCAAAATTTGGGAGCAATCACTCCCAAACCATTCATCCAACTATCTATCACTTTGTATGTGTGGCTTTTGAAAAAGAATCATATCCTTCCTTTTCCAGTTTTCCCCGCCAATGTCACACAATGACTTTTATCTATTCTACATACCTTATGACAGTTAATATGGATCAACTAGATGAGAACCCTATTATAAGAGAGTAAGGGTAGGACAGCAATAAAGACTTGAAGAGAGAGTAGGGTACCAAGTTGGGTAAACTTTCCTACAATGTTTCACTTCCTAATGAAAAATGGGTGCTGATTTACTTTCTTATTTGTAGGGTCACATTTAAGACCATTTCTTCATTTTTTTTCTATCTAAGATGACATCTTATCTGAAATGGATTAAGAAGATTATGAAAGTTGAATTGTATTGAGAGACGCATCAAACATTAAAGAGCAACTCCTACTTTAGAGAAGGCAATCAGTTGTGCTTAGTAAGAGAGAGAGACGAGATAGATGAAGCTTTAATTTATATATGCATGGCACATGCCTATCAATAGTAATTATAATACGCTGATTTTTAAGATGCCACATTGCATGCAAACAAATAGTTACAAGTAAGATCTTTTAATTATGACGTCATACACAATTTTTATTTTTCCTCATCATTGCTTTTGCTGATTTCTTGAATAAGTATATGGTTCTAAACTATCAAAAGAACGAAAGGAAAAATGTATGAAGAAATAATAAACAACAATGAGGAGAATATCATTCACAATATTTCCTATGATTTTAATTTCAAAGTATTCTTAGTCTTATTATAGTGCTTATAATAATGTAGAGGACTTGCACTTCATATAATCACAACACGTGCAACGACACAGTGAGTTGGGGAACATACCTGTAGCATGCTCTTGGGGACTATCATTACCATGTGCATTGGCCAAGGCAGCCAGGGGAGGAAGCGCATTCCCTTCATCATCAAACACAAACCTCTGTCCAGCCGGTTTGTTTATGTTAATCTTCAACCTCTTCCTCTTCAATATCCTCGTTGATGTACTTTAGCAATCAAGAAAAATATGAGTTTAATTACGATAGACAGTAACATCAAAAAATCAAAAGAGAAACAAATAACAAGAAAGCACAATAGATAAAAACATGGAAACGGTCTTCTGTCGAGACGGTAGAGGCTAGGTTTTCATAGTCTAATGTCTCAAGTTCCATTCCTATGTGTAACCTTGTCAAAAAAAAAAAGATAATAAACATGGACATACTAGTCATTATCATTTTGTGCTACTTCCGTGGGGATATCCTTGGGCAGAAGGACATCATCTTCTGTTTCATTCTCTATGCATTCCTTCTCGACTTTTTCTTGTACTTGAGGTGCAAATTCTTCTTCAGGTTCAGCTTTTACCTTGCTTCTCTTGTTCAAGAAACGGATTTTTGGAGTCATGGGCAGGCCGATTGAGGCAGAAAAATCTTCAACAGGCAATTTTGACAAATCAAACACTTCTTTATTGGACTGTAACTTAATTGACTTCAAGTACATCACAAAAGCCCTTTGAGCTAAGTACTGCAGATCCGGATATTTGACCAGTAACGAAGCCAACAATGTGGAGACTGATTGCAGTCGCTTTGTATTTGCCTGAAAACACCACCAAATCAATGATCTTACATATCTCTAGACCAGGGTTTTAAAAGTCGGCGAGTCGCAACGGACTCGCCCAAGTCGACACGGGAATCAGGCACCCCGTGTCGATTCTTCTGCAAAACAGGGAATCGTCTGATCCTAGAGGAGAATCGGCGATTTTGAACAGTGAATCGCCCCTATTACGTCATAAATCACGATTTCAGCCACTTAGTGATGTCACAGGGCGAGTCGTTACCTGAGGACATTTTGATAATTTTTTTCAAAAAATCATAACTGGTGTGCCCTGTCTCTCCATCACGCTAGTGTTAAGGCTTTTGTAAAAGTATTTATACCTTCTACACTTTCTCCAATTCTTCGTTGTGGGACTTGCGCTAAGCCATATTATATTGAAAAAACATACAATACAAGCAATTATTGTACAAAACTCTTCAACAGCGCGCGAGGGGCTGCCGTGGTTAGTAGCAGTGGTTCTTATGCGTGACGTTCCAAGTTCGAATCCCAGTTGGGACGTTATTGTACAAAATTCAATTTTTTGTCTTCAAAAAAAAATTAAAAAAAAAATAATATCATAAAAAAAAAAGAAGATAGGTTTTTACTTTTGTCTTAAAAAAAAAAACTAAAATTTATCTTCATTAAAAAAAAAAAAAAGATAATAATATCATAAATTTTTTTAAAAAAAATAATATCATAAAAAAAAGAAAGATAGGTTTTACTTTGTCTTAAAAAAAAACTAAAAT